AATATACATTGAATCATCGTCAAGGTATGTATTCACGTGGAAGATCGTCCTCCCTAAAAAAATTTTCAATTTTTATTTTTCAAGTTAATCGATTTATCATTTCGTGTTCAGTCCGGCTAATGAATATACTGCAAACAATGTACCGGTCGGTGGTGTCGGATGTCTGTGGTGTGTGTTTGTGTATAATATATTAACAAGTCTTCGTTTATTTTACTCACACATATTCATAATAATACATACTATATTATATAATATTATTCCAACCATAGAGTTAACATATGGTTATAACGCATGTGTATTGAATAAAGGCGTAAGTAGATGTAGTAGAAGGTATATATATTCAGTGGAGTGGCGAACTGAACATTTTTCAGAGGTAAAGAAAAATTACCAAGGACCAAATGGTGTAGGGGGATGAGTGGCTAACATAAATTGATACAATCGTAGTAATATAACTAATTATATTTCAGATCAATATTGATTTACCTATTAAGTATTAAATTATGATTATAGAGCATCTACTGATCATTACCCACCCTTATATTTAAAGAGATCTCTCAGAGGTGATCGCCTCTAAAATATAATCGTTCGCCACACCACTGGGTATATGTATATACTAGGTATAGATTAGGCATACATATGACGAGAAACATAGTAAGAATAAAGAATAGAGAGAAGTGTTTGAGAATCAGAAAAAGAGACAGTAAAGAGTGTTTGTGTGTGTGTAAGAGAAAGAGAGAGAGAGAGAGAGAGAGAGAGAGATAAAAAACAAAATAGATGTAAATCGAAGATAAAACAGTATGTATTTTGTCATTTTTTTTTTTTTGTTTTCTGTTGAAAAATAGAAATTAGAAAACGTTACAGTCACAAAAATACATGTATAGTAAAAATGGAAAAAAATAAGAAGTAGAAAAAATAATAACGTATAGTTTCATATAGTGAGATACACAAGAAAAAGATATGTGGTACACAATATTAAATATTGTTAAAAGTAAAAACAGTACATTTAAAAAAAAATCTCTAATAGTATGTATATACTATATGTATATATGTATATATATATATAAATATAAATGTATCGATTTATTCTGGTGTACGAATTGTACGCTTTTCGGGTCGTCGGTCTATACATAAACACACACACATATATATATATATACACACATAAAAATTATTATAATATAAATATGAGAAATAACACTAGTGATTGTTTATACACCCCGTATGATTGTCGAGAGTTAACTTAAAAAAAAAAAAAATTATACATATATATCAAAACGGCTACTATAAAGATGATATACATAATAATAATACGATGATGGGTAATTTTTACTGCACGTCTGTCGTTGGCGATGTCGTCGTTGACGCAATCGATGCGCACCACGCGAGTAATTAAAATAATTTTATTGAACGTCAAACATATTAATATATAATATGCAATCGTCCGATTGTCGGGATTTCGATAATGGGATTCGGATAACGTAAATCCGACGAACGTTGGGCCCATCATTGGGTGACAGTGTGCGCGCGGAGTGTGTTGGCGATAAACTGACGAGGTGTATTATTATTGTAGTTGCGGAGGACGCGAGACGAACTACGTGACCGCGATCGGGTGAGAAATCAATTTGGACGACACGTGCACAACATCCGATTTCATTATTACCTGCTAATATCATATCGTTTGATCGTGTCATAATTTTTACATCGCATTCGTAAAACGATTTCCACTCATCTGGCGGTAGCAACAGCGCGTGGATATTATTTAAAAGGACTAATTTTTCACGTCGAAGGATGAAAAAAATTCGGCGAAATGTCCTGCACGTCATAGTTTTTCAGACGAAAACGAGTGAAAATTACCGCCCTTCACGGTCACGTCATATTATTATTATTATTTTATCAGATATTTGTATCGTCATCGTCTTGCTGACGATCGCTGGTGATAAATCCAACGGATAAAAAAGATATCGTAACGCGAACAACCGGTACGGGAAAACAAATAATTATAATTAAAACCGTTATGCGGAGCGGTGACGACCATAATACGATTCCGATTTGTTATGAATTTCAGCAATCGTTAACATTTAGCGCGGTTTGTGAAACAAAACATAGGTACGCGCCTGGTTTCGAGGGAAAACGTTGATTATCATAGAAAATGTATAGCGCGATGGTCTCATTCATCGGTGATATCGGTTGGCGAAATTAACATTTTTTTTTTCACGGTCGTAATGATATAACAAATGTTAATTTTTTTTTTTTTTTTTTTATTAAATATCGATTAAGCGTTGAAAAGGCCTCCACCTAGAATTTTCGATCACGTACCGAGAGAAGTATACGAGGCCAGCAGTGTTCATTCTCTATTTCCCGGTTATGGAGGTTATGGAGGAGGAGGGGGAGTTTCACGACCGATTCGGGAAAAAAAACGAGGGAATATCACTCCGCCCACACACTGTAGTTGCAGCTGATAGAGATGACGACGCGATCAGACACAACGATGATATTATAGCGATTTAAAAATAACACGAAAATAACGGAAAAATCGAATCCACGCACTGACGATAGGTACTCGAGAGATGAGACGCGCGCACACAGACGTACAGGAAAAAAAAACCGAAATCTATGTTATAATTTATAATACAATAAGATCTATGCGTGTGACTAAACACAATAATATATAAATATGACAAAATGTGATCGCAGTCGAAGTGTGAAGAGAACCACGACGACGGCGATACGTGTGCTTCGATATTACTGCGTGGTTACATTTCGAAAAAATTTCCTACACGTAATGTATATTTATATGTTAAGTGACACAGAAAAAAGAAATCATATCTAGAATATGATCTTATATACTTCATAGTAAATAGTAATAATATACATATCTAAACGATTAAAAAAAAAGAAAAAAAAACAACATTTTATTTATTTTTAACATATTACACTTTTAAACTACCAACGTGAATACACAATAATAATGCAAGTTAGTAGGTTAGTAGGTACTTGGTTTTTGGGTCGGTAGGGAGTGAACGACAAAGGGACAATTTAATAATAATAATTATAATAGTAATAATAATAATAATAATAATAATAATAACTTTTTTTTTTCACTCGTTAATAAAATACATCTAAGTGTGTGCCGGCAGTCCGGAATGACCGCGACAAACGATTGTCCTAGTTAATATTAGCGTTAATTAGCTAAATATGATTGTTATGAGTACATATTGTTATAATATACTAATCACAATATTATTGTAATAATGTCTAAATAAAATATTTTAAAATTATTGCAGGTAACGCTTAGTCAGCGCACGAATTGACATGGGTAGGACGAAAACGGCTGTCGTCGATTAGATAACAAATTCGATAACCAGTCGAGGACATCATCAGTAGGTAAGTCTAAGTTAACAACAATAATAATAATAATAATAATAATAATAATAATACAAATTGTTATAATAGTATTATATAAGTTTACAATGTTTTCGTGAAAAATGAAATTTCAAGACCAGACGCACGGTGGACCTCAGAAGAGTTGTTATAATAATAATGTCAGACGATAACAAAATATACGTACGCGTGGATCGACACGAATAGTTTATGATAATATTTACGTAGGAATATACTACATAATATACGGTATCGCAAAAGAACCGATACCGTGGAGGTGTGCGTGCGCCTGTTAGTTTTTTTCAAGAACAGTTGCCGACGTTACGTGTGATGGCGTATTCGTCGTTTAGAATTTTGATTGTCACATTGGCATTCATCCTTAAAAATAATTGCTATTATACACGCGCTAACGCGTTCTACTACACATTATGCACTTACGAATAATATATATTTTTTTTTTTTTTTTTACCTTAGGGCTTATATGTTACACTTACATTATAGTATAACGATATATAACTACACGTTATAGTTAAAAATAAACAAATTAAATAAACATTTATATACCCGACCACTACTAACGCTAATATTTAGTATTAAATATTAATATCGTTACATATATAATATATAATAATACTCTGACAAAAATTTAACTCAGTTGAAAAAAAAAAACTTAACAATTAAGATTTAAAAGGTATATAATATTGGCTATGATACAGAATTGATTGTGATCGATGAGTTCCGATATGTTCACTTCTTTTCAGTGCGATAATTTAGAGAAAAAAAAAATAATGAATATAACTTACTATAAGTACAAACGAAACGAGGAAAATAATAATGAAATTAAATACCAGGGGAAAAAATCAGTATTTTTTCAACATAAAACACGACGGATATATCATTCCTCGATCGAATTAATAACAAGCGCCGCGACGGATAATCGATTAATATATCGATTACCGTATAAATAAAAATAACGCATAATGAAAATTATACCTATATTATGTCATGATAATTCATTCAGCCGAGACGACCGAGCTGATATCCGTTTATACCGGAAAATAAAAAATAAAAATAAAAAATAAACAGTTTATTCATCTTAACAAATCATAATAGAAATTGCTCGTATATATAATAATAAAAAAAAAAAAAACTGTTTTTTTTTTTTAATCTAAAAATAAACATAATCATATATAATAGTAGAATAAAAAATAGTATAAATTATAAATAAAAATCATAATAATAATAAAAAAATACTAATCGTTTCATTAATACATACAATTTAGTGCGATTTTATGTTACACGTTTTCCTCGCATCCTTTGGTGACAATTTCTACTACTAAAATAATATATTTTTTTTTCAAATTCAATAAATATTTTTTACGACCTAGACATTACATTGGTCTTATTAAATAATACACATACAATATATAGATATAGATTAAATAATACACAAATATAAAGACACTTAGAGGAATGATGGAAAAAAAATCATCAACATGTAAATACATATATGCGAAAATAATACGCCATGAGAAAAAAGTAAATGTAAAAACAATTAAAAGTTAATCGCGTAAAAAAAAAAAATCAGAGTATAATAGTAATAATAATAAAGAATAATAATATTAAAAAAAATAATACTGTTTACGAATAAATTTAAAATATGAAACAATAATATTATAATTAAAAATACTTGTAAAACACAGTCGTGTTCGTAAAGATCATTGACTGTCGCGTAGTTTGGCAACAATGTCCAGTAATTTAAAGCGTAGGGTAAGAGATGCCTAGTTGGGTGTCAGCGTGTCCGGTTGGATGTTGGACTTAGAGAACGAAACGCGCAGGTGGTTTTGTTCGCTGAGCCGATAATTGTGCATCTTCTACAAATTAAAAACAGATATTAGTCACAAAATAGGATATAGGATACTTTTTAACGTTCAAGTCAGACGATTGTTTGTCCACTTAAAATGTATATATTAATTTATTTCCCCGATTTGTTTTTTGTACAAGTCACATGAATAATAGACTTTTGTGTTTGAGCGTTGACATTGTATTATTGATATATTTTACATAAAAATGAGTACTTAAGTCTAATACTGTAGTTCAATGGATTGCATGGGATATGGGAGCGTTTTGGACTTTTACAGAAATAAAACCAGTTGCGCCCGGTCGTTTGCAGGAATAGTAATTCAGTTGCGCAAAATAAAAACCGTTGGTCATTTAAATTCAAAGTAAATAACAATAAAATTTAGTTACTTACCTATATAAAATATAATTAAATACAAATTTAAAATAACGAATATATATTAATTGTGCAACACAACGAACAAATATTCGGCCAATAAAAAAATTAACAATATGCGAAGATGAAAACTTGATTTCGTCTATAGGGAACTATTTCTAATGTTAAGCTAATATAATATATATGGACACGGAAAGATTACGTATATTTTATAATCTTACACACCCGAATGCACAATACGATATTGAACTTTAAATGGTACCTAGTACCTTCTACCCCTAGTACAAGACATAGAAATGTGATTTCGTAGATTAAAAGTTATTAGATTTTAATAATTTTTAGAATTCGAAGATTTAACTGACGGGACGTTACTTAATATACGAATAATTTTTATTGTATTAAACATTTAAGAACGACGTGTGTTGGTATAATATATATGTTTATTGTGCTTACGATAAGTGCGGCGACGGCTTCTTCCAAGGATTCCATTTGAATAAGTGCCATTTTGCGGTCTTTACTGAAATATAAAAGGTCATTCGGTTAAAAATCAAACACACGGAGATATAAATAACAATATAAATATACTAACGGGAAGAATTTGAAATCTTTGACGGTGAAAGCGTTGTTTTCGAACGCCGTCTTTAAGAAATCTTCCGATAACGTCGTCCTGTAAAATAAATATACAAAATAGTGAATTTGATAATGCGAGAACGTTATTACATGAGGTTCGATTGCTATTTTAATGCTCACGGTATGTTGGATAAGTGGAGAGTAGACGACGGTGGATAGATGTTTTGGTAATTTTTAGAACCTGGCTTCTTGAATCGGTGTAACGGTGACGAGGTGTAATCTTTAGTCAGCCCCGAGTCGGGCTGTCCCTCCTTGGGCAGTTGAACAGTCTGGTACTTGGATTGCATTACTCGTATGTACTTTCCATATAGACGCACTTTGTCCAAATGAAGCATGGCTAATGTTTGTGTAGAGGCAGTGTTAGAAAAAAGATAAAACAAAAAAATGATGGTTGAAAAAAAATGTGCAAAAATTAAATATATATAATAATTATAATATATTTTTAAGCTCACCCAAATGTGCTTGGTGGGGCTCAGCCATTTGTACCAAAGCACCGTCTTTTTTGTTGTACAAGATCTTCACGCGCAACACGTCTCCATAGACACCTAGACGGGCAAAAAATGAAAAAATATTGTTTAGAAAAAAAACAAAAAAAATGATCCCAACATAAAAAATTAACGTGTAAATATTGTATTAAAAAAAAAAAAAAAACATAATTTTAATTTAAAAATAAAACAAATTAAATGTTAAAAAAGGAACCATGCATGTGTCTGTTAACATAAGAAGAAAATATTAAGAGTACTATAAACAAAAAATATTTTTTTTTTTTTTTTTAAATACGATATACTATTTAATGACAAAATAATAATAATAAAAATAATAAAAGAAGACAGGTGGAAGTAATAATAATGATTCAGGAATATAGATTATGTTAGATGTATTTTGACAAAAAATATACCTTCCATCTGTCTTGAAGGTTTTTTTTAAAAAAAAAAAAACCTAATAAGATATACAAATACAATTACGCATATTATAAATATAAAACGAAAATAAATTTAACAGTATAAGTTAAGTATATATGCACCTACCAAACAAAGTGAAAATAGCGTCTGGCGTGACCATCTACGAAGCGATAAGTTTTTTAATTTTGTATATTTTTTCGTAGAAAGAGTTAAAAGGTGTGTCCGGTGGCAGCAGAGTTAGACAGAGACAGATTTTGTATATATATATATATTTGTTTCAGTAGCAGCAGTAGTAGTAGTAGTAGTAGTAGTAGTAGTAGCATCACCGTTAGGGAAAGCCAAAAACAAAAAAAATCAGAAAAACAGAATTCTTTGAGTATCACAGTTGAACAATAATGATTATATAAATATATATATATATATATATGTATAATATAAATAAAATTAAAACTCTAATAACAACAGTAATAATAATAATAATAATTATGGTCATAATAATAATATGATGATGTGATTTTCATCTGTAATCACAGGTGGTTAATCTCCGTTTGGATTTAAGCTCGAGGACACCACACGTTTACCGCGGAGGGTTTCTTTCGGATAAGTGATATAACGATATTTCGACAAGCACATCGCGCGATCGCACAATATTTTTTTACGATATATTATTATTATAATTATTATCATCATAATCATCGTCGTCGTCACTATCATAAGGACACATGCCGCGCACTATGATAATGACGCGAATAATGGACATTGTAGTATTTGTATCGCGCCAAGGCGCGGAATCATATCTGTCACCTCTTCGTTAAGGTTGCTGACCAACAGTACACAAGTCTGTCCGGTCATCTGGCCGGGGAGTCTGAGTGTGCCAGTCGCCAACGAACCACCGGGTAAGGTGAATCCGAGCGGCATACTAGTGACGGGAGAGTTGGCGTACGATGTGGCTAACGGCGAAGCAAGTCCGTGGACAGCGTTGAACGACGGGGTCAGCATACCCGGACTGCCTGTAAAATAAGGAAAGTAAATATTAGAGTTTTTTATTCGGTGGCTGCGCCAGATAGCCGCAGTTGCAGTTACAGACAGGTTCTATTTTCTATTATTGTTAAACGGCGCCTATATGTTTAATAATAAATCGTCGTTTGTCGACGACCATAACGGACAAAGTGAATGTCGTATTGTTATTCATTTTTTTTGTGTTTAAAACCTACAATCGCATATAGCTGGGCAACTATCATATCTTTTAGAATCTAATGTTGATTTAAAATCAAACAATCAGCTATAAATAAAATAAAATTTTAAACAATTTTAAAAGCGGGGAGGTTTTTTTCAAAAATGTTACTTTTTTCATTCAATGTCGAATCCATTATCGATATTGCTTAAAAATTATATTGGTTTTTGATTATTGTTTAAGATCTGTAAAATTATTAAATAAAAACCATTTGAATTTTCGGAGACTTGAGGAAATGAAATTACACCCCAGAGAATAAGACAAGAATGGAGTAAGCTTAAAAAGTGTTTAATTTAACTAGTTTAAATTAGTTAAAAAAAATAAAAATCCAAACAAACAAAATTATATTGATCTCAGATATGTCACTAAGCACTGCAAAGCTTAACGAGTTTTCGGACATATATTATACATATATATATACACGTATATACCAGCTTATACGACATACGTGCACACGTAAGTATACAAAGTTCTCATTTTGTTCTTTACCAGTTTTATTTTTACTTTAAAGATTTTTTTTTTTATTTTACGGTACATTCCTTGAGTTCTACAAGCATTACTGTATACCAACCCGACCCGAGGGACCTTATTATTACTGGATACGTACCGTGGTCGCGCGCCATCGCGGGTACATCAAAAACGAATTTGTACGAGTGTATGTCGGGTAATGTTTTGTCGGGGGTAAATAATATCTCGCGGCGAATTCCAATCCACATTTAACGATACCCATAAATTCCGTTCGAACAATAACACCGGAAAAATTCGAGTTATTCAACAGTCCGAATTCGTACACATACATGTGCCTCTATACAAACGTATAGGTGCGCGCGTGCAGCGTTTCCGTTATTAATTACATAATAACGCGTGCGGTGCAAGTACTCTCCGCCGCTCGCGTGTACAGCGCGTCTGATTAAATTTATCGCAACGTATAAAAATTAATGTTATGGGTAAAAATTAATAAAATATAACTTCTGAGTTTTTGGCTACCTACCTTTATTGTCAGCGCTCCGTTTCTGATCAACGGTACGCATTAACGTACCTAGTCAGGAAATTTGGTAAGGGAATTTAAAAAAAAGTTTGATTTTAAATATGAAAATAATATTGTACAATATTTTATGAAATATATATATAACAGAGGAGGTCAAACTGCGGCTCGGGTCATAGACTCATATGGCTCGCATCTTATCGTAACATATAATCATAATTATAAAAAAAATTATTTTCAATATGAATTCATAAATTTATGTATTCGAAGAAGTATAATATTTTATTAAATATTAATTTATATAAAAAATTTACAAAAAAAAAAAAATATAGTGATTTTGATATAATATTTGAATATGAATATATTTTTATTTTTAATTATTAATTTAAATCGTTAATTATTGTTTAAAATTGTATACATTTTATTAAAATTGATATCTAATTATCTTCTTTACAATAATCATAAACATACATTAAAATTAACTTTTTTTTCATTTTGGCTTTTCCATAATTATTAATTATATTGAGCGGCTCGCAAGTCTCTTATTGCTAGCCACCTCTGGTGTATAATATGATTTGAGGTTTTTTTGGTCAGTTAATGGCACATTCCCACGATAATTGTGGAGAATGATTCAACCCTAAACCCCCTTGATCATAAAATCGTGTATTTAAATCACGTTCAAAATCGTGAGTATGTAATATGTATTTATAATTTTGTGCGCGTATGGCAATAGTATGTAAGTAGATATGTACCTATATTAAGGCAGTGACGTAAATTCTTCGCATCGAAGTGGATGAAATGTCGAGTACCTGAGTGGAGAAATCCACCGAAAAATAAAACAAAAATGTAAATAAAAACTATTTATTTTTAATCACTTAAAACAAACGTCATGAGCGTAGAATAAATATACATAGGATATTGGGATTGAGATCGGCATATCTGTATACATCAATCCCGTATAAATATAAACGTCTACGTATGATATAATGCACATCATAATATTCTAAGGTTAATTATGTTCTCGATTATGCGCGCCAAAGCTTTTAGAATTCTCGTTAGTTTGAGTTAACGAGGGTGGGACGTATGATGTTTCTTTGGAATTTACACGCGATGACATCACACATCCTCGAACGAATATAGTGACATGGCTTGAAAAACTACACTTTTTGAGTTATCGAAATGTGGGTAAAATGTAGATTTGATTTAATATCCTGCAAGGCCCTTCCTTATAAGTAAAGTTTCCACATTTCTACTCGAAATTCAAATCTTTTTCTATAGAATTACTACGAAACGAAACACAACGTCTTTCAAAAATTAAATTATTAGAATAATATTATGATATGGATACGATCATTGTACAAATATAACCATTTTGACAGACTTGAAAACTTTTAGACATTTTCATATTATTTTTTTTCGAATAGTGTCACTACCACATTCTTTTGGGATGCAGACATGAAAATGACGATTGTTTTTTTTTTCAAGAACGAAGAACTTATAGTTTACTTATAGATTCAATGCCCTTAGAAATATTTACAAAATTATATTTAAATATTAAACCTATTATTATTGATATTACTTTGAGTATATACCTATTTCAAATAAGAATGATTTGAAAACTACTTAGTCTAATTTTAATTTTAGTAAACCAACGTCTAAAACAAAAATCGTTTGCTTAATGATTCACATATATACAAAAATAGATGGTAACTAGTTTTTTGTAATCGTTTATTTAAAAAAGATGAATCCTTTTAAATGCTATAAAAAAACGTTGGAGCAATGGTTGAAAAACAATGATGAATAGCATTATTATAGGTACTATCGAATTATCTGAAGGTAGGTACGAACCTGCAAGTCGGCTATGGTCAGCGCCGGTGGTCAGTTGTCGGCGGGCTTGCGGAAGTCCAGCAGCGGCACTTGGGACGCCGGAAAGCAATAGACTGAGCTGATGTGGCAGCAGCTGATTGCCAGCCACAGAGTCCACGCCAAGCGCCGCCAGCGTTTCCATTACCGTATTGTCGCCGTTGGGCAGCGTCGGGTTGGTGTAGTCCCGCGACTTGTCATTGTTGTATTTGACGTTCAGACTGGACAGTTTCGAGTATTCGATACGTAGTTTGCAGCACGATGTGTAAATGTTTTGGCCATCCAGTGACTATAATGAAAATTGTGAATTAGGAAAACCCCCCCAAAAAAAACAACGAACAATTAGTCGACGGCATATAACAGTATCGAAAAAGTTACATAATTATTTATTTATAAGGAATATAAATTTATACTAGCTGTATAATGTAGTGTCGTATGCAATCAGTCACTTAGAAAAACGATAATAAACGTACACACTCTAGCATGTCTGTACTACTTAAGTTTTATTTATTTCCCTTTGAATTATACACAAGGATGTATATATAATGTTAAGCTTGTACGGTACTTGTTGTATCAGTGATTCATACCAAAATTATTGACTAGATTTCGCGTAATTAGGTAGACACAGCATACGACACAAGTATAATAAGTATTATATAAATTGTATGTACCGTGTCTCACTGGGTTAATTCTATAATAGGTGCTTATAATAAAATCGTATAACAGTTGAAACATTTTTATAATGCATCAAAAATGAGTAATTCGATGCTAAAGACATTTTACGCGAATTAGTCATACAAATTGAAAAGTGATATCTTGAAATTGTTTTGTGTCGAGTTTAAGTAAACGAAAAATATTTTAAGAATACTTATTCAAATAACTACATAGTAATTATGTTAATACGGTTATAAAATGAATAATTTCGGAAGGTAACGAACACGGTGAGACACTCGTACTAACAGTATTTAGATATATATATATATATGGTTCTACAACACAATACAATTACTACCAATATAAAGGAAAATCGAAGAAAGAATAATGAGGAAAAAAATTAAAAACTTGAAATACACTCCACGTTTACATTACATAATTAGCATCTCAGATAATGGGAAGCTATTTTTCGTGGTCACGGTCAAAATATTTAAATACGTAAAATTGCCTAAGGATGAACGATCTAGATTGCGAGGAGGAGTTTCTCTATGATAAGCGTTTATAAATCATAGGTAGGTACGAGCGGTGTAACAACCGATGGTAAAAAATTAAAGCGTGAAAACGAATTATCCAATTATGCGGCGGCGAGTCGGACAGCACGTATCTCCCCCTATTAAGGCGACGACGGCAACGACTGGCAAATAAATCAGACGCTTTTTAAATGAATTTAATTATTCACGGGGTGTGAAAAGAACGAGAAAAAGAAAAAAGAAAGAAAGAGCGAACGAAAAAAAGTATAAAATAAACGGAAACAATGCGTTTAATCAACGATTGCCGGTGCTCGAGGTACGCGCTTATACATTATATTATATGGGTGACGAGCACTAGCCGAGAGCTAAATACAATTACGATTTTATAAAAAGTGGCTCAGTGCAGAACGGCAGAGGGGCAAGGGCGAAATTGGAGAATATATAGGTATTATATTATATAATTAGTAATTACATTAAATATCGTCGTCTGGAAATGCTAAAAGTGTGGTGTGGGAGTACATAGTACGGAGGAGTGTATAATAAAATAGTTAAAGTAATATAATAGTATAAAGTAAGAATTCACACACACACACACAAACACACACATACACGTGCATGATGTACATCTGGTTATAGAAGTACACGAATGGTCCTGAACTTACGTTGTTCAAATGCGACAGATCAAACAAATGGCCGGTATGGAACAGATTTTGTCCGTCCAATGACTGTGTCAGACATGGTTTAAAAAAAAAGTGCCCGGCATACGCGGTGTGTTTTAGTATTGAACGTATTTTTTTTTTTCAATTTTTTGTTCTTTTAATATTCAATTAGTATCACAACATGGTTTATTACATTTTGATTATTGTTTAATGATTATATTTTACACACTATAGTACATATTATTATATATTTAAACCGACGACCGTCGAACACTTACCAATTTAGCGGATTGTGCGGTTACCACATCGGGATACTGGATCAACACTTGGAACGAATCTGTAAACAAGGATGGTGGGAAAATTTATTCACAAATCTTTATGTACTGCAGGTTTGCGTACGCACACACACACAACTCTACACTTGCGCGTGCGAATTTAATTCCAACACAAAATTAATGGAAAAACTGCGACGGAGACGTTGACAAAAGAGATTCCTGTATTGTTTTGAGTGCAGTATATACATGGTGCACGGGTGGAAAAGTTTGCAAAACGGAAAAACACTATAGTGCTAAACGTTTCTTTTTCTTTCTATGTGCACACAATGAAAAAATATATAGGTACGAAAAAATATCAAAAAAACGGTCATTTTTTCGTTTTTTTTTTTTTTTTTTAAAGAAAATATCTCCCTTTTTAGTGACGTGGTAGCTGGCGGGGGTGTAGATCAGTAGGGTTAGGTAATGCGTATATAGCACACAACGTTAATTAATGTACGACGACAACACTGCATATATACATAGTGTATATAACATAATACACACTCCTGCTACTCTTACTACGCGGAGGGTGAGAACAAAATGAAGATATGATTAATTGTCCGCGGGACCGAACACAAACTTCTTGATATGATGAAACCGTGTTCGCATTATATTGTTTCCGGAGAAAAGGATTATTCTCAAAGGCACGCACGTTTTCGCGAGTCGGCGTTGATAGATCGCCGGGACGAGATAAATAACGCATGTCCTCGCGGAAGGACTAAAGAGAAAAAAGATGTTTTGCAGTACCTACCGCGATCGCTTAGCCTACTATATGTGTGCAGCAACAAGGCGATTTTTCACTTTTAAATGTCTAACGTCTTTTCAATCGATTACGTATTTATCTATCGTACGTATCTATAATTACTGGAGAAAAACGTCAATTTACTTTTAAGTATACCTAAGTTTCTACTCTTATTTTTATTTTTAAGTAACAAATTTTTAATTTAAGTTCTTCGTTAGCTGCTAGAGGCTAATGTTTTATAGTTAAACACGTAAGACATAGAAAAAACGTCGTTTAAAAACAGTAAAAGTGTGTAGCTTATATATTATACGATATAAAATTGTTAAAGTTTTTCCAAAAATAGAGTTGCTGCGTCTTACATATATCTTCATGATAATAATATATATGCAAATTATGCGCACAGATGTGTTTGTCCGGTGAACGACATTATTGTCATAAATATATATTATATATATTAATATATTTGAGTATATTACGTAGTTATATGTAGGTACTCACTGTTTTTGGTGAACGTGACGATTTTCAGCACCTTGCCGTAACGCGAAAATATCTGCGAAAATAAAAAAAAATACATTATTTTGTTGTTATTGTAGTATTATGTCGGTGAACTGTATTATAATATGCACGTCTATTAGTACCACGTGCAGCATTCAGACAATATTATAAATATGCATTCAAAAGTGTTCAATTTTATTTTATCTTCACGTCGCTGATTCTTTCGTATACCAACCATCGAACTCGTTACGTTTTCGTTAAAGTATATAATATTATATTGTAAAATTTATTGTGCCAACCTTTGCACCACATATCCACGAACGGCCGCAATTATGAGAATAAATGAAAAGACCGGTAAAATAGTTTTTTTTTCTACCCGGACCGCGCTTTGTACAGCGTTATAATATAATAAAATATAGTAATATTATAAGTAAATTAAATAATAAATTAATTTATGTATTTACCCACTACGTGCGTATAATATAATAGGTATACATAGGGTAGTCGCTTTTTTTTTTTTGTGCGAAATGTTAGTAATTTTCATTATTAAGTTAAACGCCGAAAAAAGAAATACTCGCGAATGTTTTCGCAAAAACTTTTCGCATTAGTTTTCTACCCTGAAAACAAAAAAAAAAAAAATAAACGCGTATTTGAACTCTTATTAATTTATACACATGATCAATTTTTTTATTTTTTTTAATTCTATTAAGACTTGCTAATCTATATACCCAAAGACATGCGTTATATGATTATTTTAATATTAACAAAATACATATATTATGTACGAAGTTTTATTTTCTAATAACAAACTGTGGCGTACAATAGTAGTAAACTTTAATTTTTTTCTCGGCGATTCAAAACTTTAAGATATTAGCAACAATATTAAAATATATTATCATTCCGGACATTTAAACATATAATTTTTCAACGAGTAACTCAGATGTAATTTTGATATATCTACCGACGTTTTTGTAACTGGAAACTTATTTAATGTACACATAAACATATTATTCTTTTCCGGGCAAATGTAATTTGTTTACTGAAGAGAATATACACTTCAGGCATACATGCGCGTATTCAACAAACGGTATGATAAAAATAAAGTAGTTACCAATGCATGTATATTGTACGGAATGATCGATACGCGTTCCATAACATTTTTGATTTTCAATTTACCGGTATGAATATAAATTACAAATGTTTGAGGTAAAAGAATAAACTCAACAACAGTAATAAAAATATTGTATAATAAAGCGAGATATTTCCACCACAATATGGTTTCGCGGGTATCTACAACCCTTAAAACACGAAATTAATACATACCTATATATTTTACAGTTCATCATAACGTATACAATACAAATATTCAACACAATAGTCTACATTGATTATACATTTAAATTTGTTTAAAAAAAATCGAATAACCATTAACTATATAGAGCTGAGGAGAAAGTTTCATTTAAAGAATAATAATAGTAATAATAATAATAATAATAAAAAATGAATTAACCGACACTGTACTTTATGACAATACTACTGCAGCACCACACTAATCTACATTTCAAATTTTCAACTAACTTTTTTTTTAAACATTTACCGTATGAAATAATTTCATAAAATTAATTTTTACCTTAAAAACTTTACAGAGACGCGTAAAAATTATTAATCATATTTTCCCAAAGATCGAAAACTTATGAAATGTTCACGCGTATATAAAGGTATCATTATACCAAAAATGTAAGCGAGATAATAACTGTTGGACGGGTCGAGTACCTATAACGTATTGGTATTTTGAAATTTTTTGATTTTATGGCTAATAATACTTCCGAAATAAAGTATAAAGCAATTTTACAAAACCTTCTTAAAATAAAATCTTTAAATACTATAAAACAAGCAGCGTTCGATTTTTTTACCTGCGGTGAAGCACCTCGAATCTTATTTAAGAAAGATGAAATCTAACAAACCCATTATAGGTATATACGCTTCGTCAATATTATTTATGGGCGGAAAATCGCCCAGAACAATCCAAAAACGATGATGGATCGTCGTGACCGAAATAATTCATGTACCGGAGATCCCCCCCACTCGTTTGAATAAAGTATAATACTGTAAATCGCGTATTATCCGCGTTTTCCTAACTCCGCTCGTCCATTTCCTAACGTCAAAATATCTCTCGAGTTCGAGTCCAACTCGGGCACTGAAAAGCGAAATCTACAAGAAATATCCCCGCCCGGTGATTTTAAGACCCGACAGGGTGTTTGTCCGAAACGGGTGTATAATTAATATTAAACAATTTCCTCGAATCACATACAACATAATATTATACATAATTATTACGCGGCGGAGCCTCCCACTGTGTATACCTGCGTCGCCGATTTATATATGTAACACGGGTTAGGCGTACACGAAAATGTAGCCTTTGAAACCGACGACATATACACGTACATATGCATATAATTGTATTTCGCACTGAAATTAACATCGAGGGCCCGTTTAATACGGCGGGGTCAATCTTCCGGCGCTCACAAAACTGAGTGTATACGGCACACGCACATATATATATATATATTTATTTATGAATAGGTACCTACGCTTAAGTGTATGTGGTCGGGGACTTGGGTAATTCTAACGCGCTCGCGTATAAAGGGACTCTCTATCGTCCACGTATATATATATATATATATATATATATATATATATATATATATATATATATATAGATATAGATATATCGCGGTATAAAACGACATCGTGCACGCCAGCTGCCGACCCGAACTAAACCCGCGCCTCAACGATGCGATACGTACTTACGGACGAGCTATAGGTATATACGCTTTCGGCGCGTACACCCTTTCTCACCCCGCGGCTAAATAATGTTATACATATTATAATAATATTATACATAGTACATACATATACCTACGGGGATACACGTGTACACACACCAAATAAATAAATATATATATATATATGCGAAGACGCACGTCTATTCAAAATTACTCATTACGTATTTAGTGAATAAAATATGATCGCTGTTGAATCATACATAAGGAGCCGCGGCTGTATATTATTATCACGTGCGTATGTTGTATATTATCTATACATTATGCACTGGCGAATTACGTGCTTGTATCGGGATCAAGGGGAGGTGGAGTATGACGACCGACCCTCACAATTAGCTCGGTTGCTGCGTTGTAAACAGCGGAAGGTATATAATGTAGGCCAATCACTATATGTACTAGCCATATTACAACGGCTCGACTATATTTCCGAGCAAAAAACAATATTTGTGAAAATCCAATTTTTTCTGTATATAGGTAGTATTTATAAGTGTATATAGGTACAATGGAGACGCGTGCTTATTTATGCGTTATTGCAGGTATGAGATGGATTGAGTTCCCCGTTCGCTGGAGTCGGAAAATGAAACATTATACATTCTATAATAATATAATATATAACATATTATTATACTACAGTTTATTTTTCATTTTTATTCGTAGAAAACTAGTAAAATATTACGTGATATAGAAGCGAACGGATATTACACACAATGATGTATAAATTAAATCGATGCGTCTTTTTTTTCTAATATCTAAATGAAATCTAGAGTCACAATTCTCTGATATAAATCTCGTAGGTATATTAAACACGTTTACGCTACAAAAGCACTACTATTATTAATAAAAACCTGGTTATTATATATGTGTGCAGTGAGCAGGTATAGACGATTGAACAATTTTTATAATACGAAGTACGAGTACTTACTATTATATTATAGAGAAATACAAAGAAAAAAATGCTTAAAGGTCATGCCGATCCATAATATATAATATTATGTTATGTATATTTAAATAAATCGTCGCATTTATTGAAGTTATGCAGTAGAAAAACTGTTGCTGTTTTATGTACTTTTATAGGGTGTTTAATCAGCAAGGAAACGTAAATACACGGATGTTCCGGGTACGATTCAAAACTTTTTGAATACCTATTACATATATTACCGACGTGATAAACTTACACGTTATATATTAATAAATTATATGGGTATCAGATAATATATAATATCGATGTTCGAAAATTGAATATACTGGTTTTATTGATATATATTTTTTTTTTTAAAGCAATGTAAAAATATTATTTCGATTTCTACCACTTTCCTTACTTTTAAACATCTTACAAGATTTAAAGATGTCTGAAAATCTTGTAAATACTGCAATATAGATTCCGTGTTTTCGTTGTGGTAAAAATTCGTTGAACATTATATAAATTGGTTAGATTTACTACGCGTACACACACATTCAATACACGTACGAAATAATCTCACTATATCACTATATATATATATATATATACAATGTATATTATACATATAGAGGAAAATAAGGGCGCATCTCAATGTTCATAAAATTAAAAGAAAAATGTTTTCGATGCAGTAAAAATAAGTTATTTTTTGTAGTATTTTCTATAGGCAATAATTAAAGTGTACTAAAAAAATGGCGATGGAAATATAAATGTAGGGATATTATTTTGTATATATTTACGGTGTGGACGTGTAACATTTGATCAAAACCTACGATGGGCCATGATACATGCGGTATGTTATAACTTATAACTAAATATATTCTATGCCGTGTACGACGATGAGACTCGGTGCTGGAGACGAGCAGCAATAGATTTCCGGTAAATCTTATTTATTGTTTTCTTCTATTTTTATTTTTTCGAATCTAATTACGTTTTACAGTCCCCGAATGCCGATCGTTTCCGCGTGCACCAAAGTTTTAATCTGCCAACTTTCATTCATCAATTATATACACTCCCCGCGAAAACGGCTTCGCGCTGCCAGACTGCCGCTTCTGTTTCCACCACGGTCCCGTGATACCACCATCACTACAGCACTTCTCCCGCCGTCTGCGATTCCGGATATCCGTACGCCGCCACCGCCATCACTAGGCCCTTTGAGGTTATAACGCGGTATCGTAAACTAATCCATTACCGTGAGCGCGGATAATACCCCGCGGACGCCACCGCCGAAGACCCCGAGGTAAGCGCTGCAAT